AAAAAAGAAATAAATAGAAAAAAAATCACATTTTTAACATTATTTTGTGAAGATTTTGTCATGTTTAGGTGAATTCAATAGGCTATAATGCAAAACGTATTCTCTGTGGGCTGTGCTAAAAAAATTAAGTCACTATTCTAAAATTTTTTCAGTTTATCAAGATGTTAGTAGGTATTTCATTAAAAAAAGTGTTCCTTGGTTAAGTAAATTGGGCCCTTGAAACAAATTTAAGGGCTTTTAAAAATTTTAACTAAAGTACTTTTCCAGAACAATAGATATGCTAATGAAAATTAGAAACAAACAAGCTCTTTTTTATTTTTAAGGTTTACCGTTTATCAGAGCAAGGAAACAAATGGAAATAAAAATGCCCTGGTAAAGCATGAGAAGTCACAAGTCTCTAGCATCTTTACACATTTTTTGAGGGGGGTTAAAATAAAAATATGTATTTATACATCTCCTAAAGAATAAAGGTGTTGTGTTTCAACAGGTAATTTTCTTTCTTTCTTTTTTTCAACAGGTAATTTTCTTAATATATCTTGTGACTCCCCATGGTATCTTAAATATTAGTGGTCCTGCTCCACCGACTTTTTCTGGGTCTTTGATTTTTACTTCTATTTCTAACAGCGATGCTTGCAGCATTACCTCCCAGCATCTGGCCTGGCTTTTAGGAAGGATTATGTAGAATTTTTTCCTTCCTGATTACCCCTCTTCTCAGTATCAAAGCCTAAAGATGCAATCAAAGCAGAATAGCAGCAGGCTTTATTTCTTAGAGAGGACATTTGCACTTCTGAAGATAGCACACTGGTGCATACCAAGTTCCCAGCTCCTCTGCTCAGCTCAGGAACGTTCCTTCTGGACGCTGTCTCTCACGCACATTCAACAAAATCATTAAAAAGTAATATTAGGGCACACCAAACATTCTGTAATAACATTGACGTAAAGAGGATGAATTTAACATTTATAGTACACAGTCCTACTTGAGGATTTTTTTCGAATTTTGTCAATAAAGAGTGTCGCTGATCCTTATGGACTGAATTGTGTCCCCCGCCCCCCACCGCCCCCAAATTCATGTGTTGAGTTCCTAACCTCTGATGCGACTATATTTGGAGATGGGGCCTTAAAAAAGGTAATTAAGGTTCATGAGGTCATAAGTGTGGGGCCCTACCTAATCCGATAGGAGTGCTGTCCTTGTAAGAAGAGGGAGAGACGCTAGGGTTGCTCAGGCACCGAGAAGCCATTTGAGGACACAGGGGGAGGGTGGCAGCGCTCTGCAAGCCAAGGCAGGAGGTCTCAGGAAAAATCAAACCTGCTGACACCTTGATCTTGGACTTCCAGCCTCCAGAACTGTGAGAAAATTTATTCCTCTTGTTGAAGGCACTCAAGTTGTGGTATTTTCTTACAGCAGCCCTCACCAACTAATACATGAATCCTGTTTCCATTTTTGCTGTGAGTTCTAAAAAACTCAGAACCAAATGCGAAGTTCACGGAAACCATACTGTTATTTCTCATGGTTCACATGTTTTTAGTCTTTCTTTTGGTGACACAGACTTTTTCTATTTTAATTTGTTAGCTTATTATTTGTTTTCATTTTTTCCCACCTCAAAGCCTTTGTAGGAAAGAACCAGGGTACAAAGAAATAAGTAACAATTTAAATAAATTCTTTGTGTTTATAGGTTCTCCTATTTCACAGGCTTACCTTCTCAATGTCCTGTGCTGGTCCCTTTTCATTTTCTAGACCCTTTAATGTGGGAGTGCTGCAGGGCTCAGACTTAACTTTGTCCTGTATAAACTGGCTCCGTGCAGGATCTCAGTCAGTCTCATGCCTTTAAACACCAGCTATACATACATTTAGCCTACTCTTTTCCTCTGAGCCCCTCACAAATATCCAACTGCCTATTCAATATCTTCAATTAGACATCTAATAGGCATCTCATATTTAATTTGTCCAAAGCCAAGCCAAGCTCCAAATTCTTCCCACCCCTTCCTGTGGTGCTGATAAACCATCTTGGTCTTCTCCATCTCAGCAAACACCAATTCCATCTTTCCAGTTGCCTAGGCCTAAAACCTTGGAGTCTCCCTTGACTTTCCTTTCTTTCATCTCCAATTTCCCATCCTACAGCAAGTCCTGTTGGCTTTTCCATAAAAATGTTATCTAAACGGTGACCATTTTTAACGCCTCCTTTACTACCAAAGTAAATTACAGCGGCCATCACCTTGCCTTCCAAGGTGTTCTGCTTCTGTGTTTCCCTCTGGTATTCTCCACAGCAGCTAGAGCATCCTATTAAAATGTCAGTCAGATCAGGTTACTTGTCTGCTCAAAAACTTGCAGGGGTTTTCCATCTCTTCCAGATTAAAAGGCAGTCCTTATAATGAACTACAAGGTGCCAAAAGGGCTGGTTTTAGTTATCTCTCTGACATCAAGCATTTTTCCCTGACTCCCCTGGTTCCAGCCCCACCTACCTGCACTTGCTGCCCCTTCTGCCTAGAACACTCTTTTGCAGGCTATCCGCAGGCTCACCCTCATCTCCAAGCCTCTTTATCACTTTATTAATCAAATATCACTTTATTAGAGAAGCTTAGTTTGTAGTATGCTGGTAAATGTTTAACAACCAGCTCTCTGAGGAAAAATGTGTGCTTGTATTCACATTAAAGCACAATTTTAAGTTTCATCAGCATTGTTGACGTTTCATTCATCATTTTCTGAAGTTTAGGGTGATCATCAACAAACAATAAACCAAGTTCTGATTTGGTGCACTCATCAGATTTTCTGGTGTAAATATTCCCAGCATGGCCAACTGCAGGCGCCTACAGTGCTGCTATTTCAGGTGGTGTTGGGAATAGATGAGTGGTAGCTGCACTCTCTTCCATAGCATCTCCACCCGGCAGACGCGATAGACACGGACAACCTCAAAAGTGTAGATAGTAAACTGTAGCAAACCAGTTAGGGAGTGATTCGTTTTAAATACTTATTACCTTTGTTTTTATAAAATTTATTTAATCTTAAGTTGATAGAATTTAATTTTTAGTGATGACTGTTTTTCAACTGGCTTACAGAATTCCTGGAAAGTTGATTGCTTCTGTGAGCTGGCAAGAGTAGGGCCAGGGACAACAGTGGCCATTTTGCTTATCGTCCTATATCAGATGGCTATCCTCTTCCAGTCACTCTTTATCCCCCTTATCCTGCTAGATTTTTCTCCGTTAGCATTGAAGACACACACACACACACACACACACACTTTTTCTTTCTTGCCATTGGAATTTAGGTGAACTAAAGCCAAGTAATTTGCTTATTTTGTTCACCTCTGTATCCCTCGTGCTTAGAACATGTCTTGCACATGCTTTAGGTGCTTATTTATTGAAAGAATGGATGAGTTTATTATATTTTGTTCAAAATGGATATTAGCTTGTTATGGAAAAAGCAAACAACTGGGGATCAGAGTAGTGCTCTACGAAGTCGTTGCCTGCAACAGTTACGTGCAGCTCATCTGATTCTCACAGCTTCCATAGGAGGGAAGTGCTCTATTGTTACCACATCGCGGGTAAGGCGACTGGTCACAGCTTTGCCCAATGATAGATAGCAGATGAAAAAACACAGCCAGGATTCACACTCTGACATTTTGGTTCCAGAAACAATACTATAAAAAAAAGTTCTTTTTTAATTATTGAATATTTTAAAAATGTACAGAAGTAGATGGAATAGAATAATGAACGCCAAATGTCCATCCTCCAACTACAACATTCATCAACTCCTGGCCAATTTCTTTTCATCTATGCTCCTTTTCCTGGTTAGATTATTTTGAATGAAATCCAAACCATCTTTTTACTAATTATTTCAATGTTATCTCTAAAAGATAAATACTAAACCACATTCTGGTTGGAAATTTGGTACTAAACATTTTTGTCCTGGTGTTTGTGGGTGTTATTTAATTTTTCTGAAATGAGGTTTCCTTATCTGCAAAATGGATACTGAGATTTTTTGAATATGAATTAAAACAATATATTCAAAACACTTTGTTAAACTATAAAACATTATAAAAAAGATTGGGTTTTCAACTCATATGTCATTACCCACATTGTATGTACTATTGACATAATTAAAGGCTCTACATCAAAGTCTAGCTTGGCTGAGTACAGACAAGTGTGACCTGCTTTTTCCCAGCAATGTGGTTTCCCAAATAACATCATGCCTCATAAATACGCCAGAGTTCTTATAGCGAGTCAGCAGTTACATGGAACGTATAAGTCCTTGCAAGACTGTAGTCTTAAGAGAAAACAATAAAGTATTACTTTTATATTGTAGTAAAGAGGAGCTGTTGAGCATCATAAATTAAAAAAAAAATCTTTTTTTTTTTTTAAATTTGAGACAGAGAGAGAGCACAAGCGGGGAGGAGGGTCAGAGAGAGAGAGGGGGAAGCAGACTCTGCTGAGCAGGGAGCCCGACATGGGGCTCAACCTCAGGACCCTGAGATCATGACCTGAGCTGAAGGCCGATGCTTAACCGACTGAGCCACCCAGGCACCCTGAGCATCATAAATATTTACAAGAATCTATCACAACTTGCTTCCCAAATAGGAGTATGAGTGTTTCTAGATGTATGCAACATTGCACAAGGGTGAGGGAGGGCAAGATCCCTGTGGCACACCTTCGTGGAGCCTCAATTGCACTCTATCATAAATAATACAAATTTTAAATAATAATAACAATCACATCAACAGACACTTATATAGTTCTTTTTTTTTTTTCACTTATATAGTTCTTAATATGTGTCAGGCACTGTTCTAAATACTTAACTTGTATTAACTCACTTAATCCTCACAACTCTATGGGGTAGGTACAATTATTATCTCCATCTGGAAGATGGGCAAACAGAGGCACAAAGAGGTTAAGAAGTTTGCCAACATCACACAGCTAATGGTAGGGAAGACATGATTTCAACCTAGGTGTCTGATTTCAGAGTCTGTGCTTCTGCTACTACGCTATCTGTCCTATCAAAAAAAGGAGTGCTCACATCGGCAGCACATACACTAAAATTGGAATGAGACAGGGAAGATTAATTAGCATGGCCCCTGCACAACGATGACTCGCAAATTCATGAAGCATTTCATATTTTTTTGGATTGATGCCAGGTTCAGGGTATTTGTAGTAATGCCCTGTGGTTTAAAAAAGCAATTATTGGACTTAAGTCAGAAGATTTGGGTGACAGGTCCTACGCTGTGGTTTACTAAATAAATAACTTTGTGTAAATTAAAAAAAAAAAAGAAAAAAACAAAAGAAAAAGGAGCCAATATAACAATATCTTCCAAACATCTAGGTGTTCAAGTACTCCCTTTATAATTCTTATTTGTAAAAAAATATCCATGAAATCAACAGACTGGTCAGCAGTTCATGTTTTGTTCTAAGACACACTCGAAAATAAATTCATATTTACTGAAATAAAAAGAAACACAGGTGACCCTTGAACGAGGCGAGGGTTAGGGGCACCAGCCTCCACACAGTTGAAAATTTGTATATTACTTTTGACTTCTCCAAAACTTAACTACTAATAGCCTGCTGTTGACCAGAAGCCTTACAATAACATGACCAGTAAGTTAACACATATTTTGTAGGGTCTATGTATGATATATTGTATTCTTACAATAAAATAAGCAAGAGAAAATAAAATGTTATTGAGAAAGTCACAGGGAGGAGAAAATATATTTTTAGTACTATAAAAAAATCTGCATATAAGTGGGGCCACGCAGTTCAAACCTGTGTGTCAAGGGTCAACCGTATATTTATCTGTATTTCACTCCAGATGATCTCATCTATCATGATCTTGGACATTTTGGATTATGGAGTAGACTGCAGCAAAATTGGAACTAATTGATAATCAAGATGTCAAAATTTGAACTCATGGCAAGTATGTTGTGTAGAGTTAGGCCTCCTGGACACACTGTCCTACTGTCCAGAAACATGTAGGTGAGAAGTGTGAAATCAACTGCTTGGGACTGAGGCTTAGAAAACAAAACATAATAAAAAAATAATAAAGCTATAAACTTGACCAATAAAAAAAAAAAGAAAACAAAACAAAATCTAGGGATACATATCTGTAAACAGTGGGGTTTAGTCATGGGGTTTCTCAGGAGTTCTTATTATTTCCTGACACTAAGGATACGCCCTGAATAACAATCCTTGTTCTCAAGTACCTCAAAGCCTACTGGGCAAGACAGATCTGTAGATATTTTAAAGCAATGTGATACGGAGTTCGAGAGAAGTTTGCAAAAGATAATAGGTTTACAGGGTATGAAGTGTTCATGTTCTGTCTGGGAGAATTGGAAGGGGCTTATTTATGACTTCTAGAAAAAATCTGGCTGAGAGAAAAAGACTTTGAAGCTTGCAGAAGAGAAGGAAGGGAGAAACCTGCTGGTGCCAGGCCCTTTTCAATCCTGGGAAATAGTTTTAAGCCAATTGCATGGAGGAGAAAAACTGACACGCAGGGGTCTATGACGATATGTGCAGAACATGTGTCCATGCTTAGTCTCTCAGTGGGCTGCAGCAGTGCACATGCTTTTGTGTGGGACAGTAGAGACCTCTTCAGTAAACATTCTGGCTACTGCACCGGATGTCACGGGCAACAGGAGACATCACATCAGTAAGCTAGAATGGAAGAGTGCAGCCAATAGAATATTCAGAAGAACACACTCTTAATTTTTTGGGTGGCTGGCTCAGTTTTTCACAGGGCATGCTAGGACAGAACCAGAAAAATCCTGATGCCTGATTACCATTGTGATTATTTTTTCCCCTTGGGCTGGCATGTTCTGGGAAACACAGTTTCCACTTAAGTAATAGTGGAAGGGAAGGAACTAAGGAAATTTCTCCTAATAATAGAAACGGACAAGAAAGTGGCAAATAATATTCAGTATAGGCAAGAGTAATGGTCAGCATCCAGTAATGAATAATAGAAAGTGTGATTTCAAGGTAAAGGATTCTGAAATGTCAATTCGAATTCAAGGGTAGATTTTCATTTAATCACTCAATGTGTTATTTTAATACAAGTGAAATATTGGATATTATTAGGAAAGTTATTATCATGATAAAAGAAAGCATAATTTTCTTTCACTCAAAAAACCAGGGTGTGTTTTTAGGCAACATACCCAAGAAAGACAATAGAGCTAAACATAAATAAAGGTCAGTGGTAGAAGGTAATAAAAATTAGGGAATGGAAAACTTCCAGGTAGAAGCAGATTTGAAAGACTGGAGTCTGATGTGGAAAAGGCCCAAAGGAGATAGAATAAAGGTCTGTTGCACAGTAAAGGGTGTGGGTGGGGAGAGTGTGGACTTGGTCATCAAATCTCCAAATTCCAGCATTATTAGGTAATCATTAAAACCTCAAAAAAATTAATTTAGGGCAAATAAAGGAAAGATCTACCTTAAAAAATGCGTAATATACATATGCAATTCATCCTGAACAGGTTGAAAACTTAAATATCAAATTTACAATTTGGAAGAGCAAGATAATCAATTTCTAACAAACTTCAGTAAACGTTTAGGCAGCTTGGGTGTTTTTCAAAGCTTTCATTAACGCATGGGGACCAATTAATATGGTCTCTACCTGTCCACAGACAGAATTGGGGTACTTGGTTGAATGGTATTTTTTCCATCTTTTGGGAGAATTGAAGTGGTTTGACATTTTACGGTCTCATAAGACAGTGGATGCGTTAAAAATATAAACCCTGATATCGGACTTCCATTTTAGGACAACTTAGCAAACAGTGTCTATAATTCATGAGAATGTTGTTGATAATTTTGAATTACAATCATTAACAATATTAACAACAAGAGATCTTTTTTTAAGGTAAAAATCACCATCTTATATAAAGCAAAGCACTCTATTCTTAGGCAAATCATAAGCCTCTTAGCCTGAGAGCAACTTGTTAAATAATTCTCAATGTGATATTTTAGTCTGAATAAACAGAGGGCTTCACATATCATTATTGCTCTAGTACGAACTTTATGTAATAGTAACAAAACCCCTGAGCCTAATTAGTCTCTTCCAGTAAAAGTATTTGAGAAATTTTCCATTGCCCAATACTTTCCCATGATGGAAAATACACTGCATGGGAGGTATGTGTAAATATTTGATTCGTGTTTTACTGATTTCAGTGTCACAACCTATCAATCATTAACACTTCAAAAAACATATACCTGGTTGGTTGTTTCCAAAGTACATTCTTTCCTGAAGGATTTTTAGACTCTTAAGTCCCTGGGGAACACCTAGTCTACTTTTTTAATGTCACAGGTGGTGAAAATGAGACCAAGAATGTTGAAGTGACTTTCACAGAGTCCTCCACCCAACCTCAGCAGGCTCCTAGGACCAAGAACTTCAGGCTCCCAACTCAAGTCTCTTCTTAAGATACTAAGGAGAATTACTGGTCACCTTTTGTTCTGAAAGAAGGTGTATGGAAATATAATAACATTGTCATAGTTGTAGAAATTGAAGTGAAGAAATTTAGTAACTTGCAGGGACTGGCATTTATTTCCAATGCTATTATAAGTGGTCATTTAATAAAATTATAGCCTCTATAGAAGGAATTGTGAGAATGGCAGCTTGACATTTTACTACTATGAAGTAAAGGTTCCCAACCTAGTGTCTAACATAGGGTCTGCATGTAAAAGTGTTAGTTAAATCTGATTGGGCAACAATACGCTGGGGCCTGACCTCGTGACAAAGTAACTTTGTCTTCCCTGCCTTATAAAAGAGCATCTACATATCAGTTTCCAAACCCTTGTTCTTTGGCTCATCATCATATTTTCGGTTTCTTAGAAGCAGAGGCAATGTGGCATGACCGATTGGTTGGAGCCCAAGCTCCAAGGCTCTGCTGCAGGATGAGAAGGTTGCACTGAGTTCGTGGGGTGTGGGGCATATACTCACAATACTCTGCAGTGTCACTCTCTCCCAAAACATAAACTAATAACTACGAGCCACATGGTGCTATTGGTGGGCACGCTTTGGCTTAGTTCCTTTAACAAAATAACTGTAAAAAATTCTAGTTTAGATCTTGGCCCTAAGTTTTTTATCTGTCAATAAAGAAATTATTAGTTAACGGAAATAGAAATTAGTTACAGTAAGGAAAACTTACCACTTTTATTTTCTATTTATGTAATTTTTTGCCCAGAATCAATTCAGGGAAATAAAAATGTTTTAATCCATGTTTTTATTTTCCTCATGCAGAATGATAATAAACTTCCTGGGTTCCATGATGATGGTAAGAGAAAGTACACCTTTTATTTTATTTATATAAATTATTTTATTTATATAAATTTATAATATTTTATTTATATTGAAATATAAGTGAAAATATAATTTAGACATGTTTGAGAAGTCACATCAGGAGAAGACAGCTAGGTGCTTTGGAAACAGGCTGAGCAGACAGACAGTGCAGGGTAGTGTTGAATGCTCTATCTTAATTTTCTCACATGGGAATGGCAATAGCACCTAGTTCATAGAGTTGTTTTGGATATGAAATACAATGACATATGTTGGTTAAAAATAAAAGGACAGAAAACAATATACAATGCAAACACAAAACAATCAAAGCAAAGCAAAAATAAAAAAAAAGCTGGGGTGGTTATATTAATAACAGGTGAAGTAGATGTTGCAGTAAAGAATATTACCAGGGACAAACAAAGGGGTTAAATCATTAAGAAGACCTAACAATCCTAAATGTATATGCACCTAAAAACAGAGCTTTAAAATACTTGACACAAAACATTGATAGAACGGCAAGTAGAGAGGCGCCTGGGTGGCTCAGTCCTTAAGCGTCTGTCTTCGGCTCAGGTCATGATCCCAGGGTCCTGGGATTGAGCCCCACATCGGGCTCCCTGCTCGGTGGGAAGCCTGCTTCTCCCACTCCCCCCTCCCCCTGCTTGTGTTCTCTCTCTTGTTGTGTCTCTCTCTGGCAAATAAATAAAATCTTTAAAAAAAAAAAAAAGAACTGAAATGAGAAATAAATAAATTCACAATCCCAGCTGGAGGTTTCAACCCTTTTTTAGTATTAATAGAACAAATAGACAGAAAATTAGACAAGATATAGAAGACTTCAACAACATAGTCAACAAATCTGACCTCTTC